TATTAATTGTTGTACGAACCTTAAATTGCAATTGACAATTTAAGCAAGAAAATTAAGTTAGAATTCATCGTGAAATACATTACAATTTTGAACATTATATTGTGATGGGAATTTTATTGTAATTGAAATTATATACGAATGTTAAATTATAATAGACAATTTAAGCAAGAAAATTAAGTTAGAATTTATTGTGAAATTCATTATAATTTCGAATATTATATTGTGATGGGAATTTTATTGTAATTGAAATTATATACAAATGTTAAATTATAATAGACAAATATACGAACCTTGAACATTTGAATATAAAAATTTATTATATGAGAACTAACAATTATCATATGAACATTGCTAATAACTATTACATGATGATAATAATCTGACAATAATTTTAATTCAAATTTTAATAGGTAGAAAATGGTGGATACAAGAGGAAAGAAGAAGTTGAAGGAGGTAGAGCCGTCGAGGGTGACCAACCGTATAGTATTGAGGTCGCGTCGTGAGAAAGCCGAGAATGAGCGTCGACGTGCTAGACTTGTGGAGAATCCTTCTCCCCCGCCTCCCGTGCCTTTTGACTTAGATACAGCTTTTGAGGGAGTGGATGAGTATGATGGCAGTGATGACAATTATGATGACTTCCCGCATGTAAATGATGCTTTCTTCGAGAGCAACCATCCGAGTGCAGGTGGTTCTAGTGGACCTAGATTAGAGCCCGAGGCTCCTTTTGTGTCTTCTTCGTCCTCTCAGTTTGTTCATGTTAGACGTGGGGCTCGTGGTCGTTTTGAGTCATCACGACCCGATTCGGAGGAGGGCAGCACTAGTAAGAGGAAGAAGGCGAGAGAAGCTGATTCGTGGATTCTCGACAGGAGTGGGCCGGGGGGGCCTATCGATCATAGCCTGATTCCTAGTTTTGGAGGTCATGTGGCTTATCGATTATGGGATGATGGTTTAGGGGCTCGCCGAATGGATTCATTCAAGTTGTCGACTAGAGCATTGACAGTCAATTATTTGAAAGATTACAAATTTCAGAGTGAGGGTGCTGCAGCATTGGTTGAGAGGACAGGGTTGCGCAAGTTGTTGGACTGCTCGATCCAGCACTTGGACGGACCTTTACTTGTGGCATTTGTGGAGAGGTGGCAGCCTGACACCAACACCTTTCACATGCCTTTTGGAGAGATGACCATCACGCTCCACGACGTTGCAGTGTTGCTTGGGATTCCAGTCGGTGGAGATATGGTTGTAGGGAATGAGAGTGTGAAAGCACAGTTGTGTGAGATGCTGAGGGTCGAACAATTGAATGAACGATCCAAGCCTTCGCTTAAGAGTGGGGGTTTAGTGTGTGCTGAAGCTATGCAGCAAGTTGGGAGGTTTCGGGAAAGAGATTCTGAGGTACGGATGTTCTTGACCTGTTTGTTGGGGACCACCTTGTTTGTGGACAGGAGTGGGGATCGGGCGCAGGTTTGGCCTCTCCAGTTCTTGGGGGACACTAGACGGGTGAGGAAATATTCTTGGGGGTCTGCTACACTCGCCTATTTGTATAGGCAACTCGGCATGGCGTCTCGAGCGGATTGCAAAGGCATGGGTGGCTGTTTGACCCTCCTTCAGAGCTGGATCTACGAGTACTTCCCGTGTTTACGAGATCAGAAGTTGGGGACACGTGGATTGGTGTGCGGGGAACCTTTTGCTAAGAAGTGGGAGGGGGTGAGAATTGGAGGTGGGGCACAGTTGATGAATGAGAGGTTGGATCACTATCGTCGAGTATTGGATAATATGACAGATGAGTTCGTTTTTTGGTGCCCATTCGGCCCCAGACCTGGTGAGATGGTCTCTCGTTCTTTGTACTCTGGTGTCATTCGGTGCATGAGTGTTGAGGAGATGTATGATCCCTCGCGTTGCCTCCGTCAGTTTGGGTACGTACAGACCATCCCCTCAGATCCGCTTCCTCCAGTTGATGTTTGCCGATCTGCGAATGTCAAGATGTACTCCTTGTCCTACGGTCCCGGCTTGAGTGAGCTTTGGAAGGCCCCTCACTGCCACTCGGTGCAGTTGGATTCGATATCGAGACCTGTTCAAAAACCGGAAGATACCGAGGATGGGTATCTACAGTGGTATATGGGACGTACCCACCCGAGGATCGTCTGCCCCAGTGCTGCTGACCAGGAGATACACCACCATCTTAGTCATGATCAGGTAAGTTTAATTATGTTATTGATATTGTTATTCTGTACAAGTTTAAATATTGCATTAGTTATCGAATAACATACTAACATTTACATTTTTATACAGTTAGCTGTGAAGCTCGTCCGAGAGTTTCGCACTGTGATTGAGCACCCTTATGATGACCACCTTGATCTTCTTCTTGGATTACAAGGGTTTCTTAAAGAGTACGACGAGGCGACTCCATACCAGCCTCCACCTCAGTACTAGTGTTGTTCATGTAGTTTGAGTACTATGTAGTTTATTTCTATTTGGAGAACTATGTCGTTAATTTGGTGTTTGAGAACTATGTCGTTAATTTGGTGTTTGAGAACTATGTCGTTTATTTCTAGTTTGAGAACTAAATCGTTTATTGTCGTTTGTTATGGTGAGTACCATAGTTTTGGTTGATAGTTTGCATCATTTTTCGAGGAGCAACACGAGCCCATTCCATCTCCTTCATATCCTTTAGCTCTTCATTAGTAAAAGCATTCCTCTGAGTGTGGCCTTCGGGATAAAGCTCTAATGCATGGTTGTGAAACCCACAAAATTGTCCCGGATTGTGATTGTCCTTCACACCATCAATCATCCAAGTCTTTTCCTCCGGGAGTCCCACCAGTCTCACTCGAAAACGACAACCATCTTTAAGTGACTTTGTGTTGGATCGTCCTTTCTTATCCGGATCTGGGACATATGTATTGTTCTTATATCCACGATGGCAGTGAAGATATATTCGGGGGTACTTCTCGCCATCATTTGATTTGGTTGATGAATGTGTCAAAAAGAACCCAAGATCTTTTGCAATCACTTTCGCACCTTCCATAGCTTCATTCCATGACTTATATCTTGTATTTGTTATGAAAAATTGAGTATAATCAACTTTGTCTCCTTTATCTTCCGGATCTCCCTAAAATAAACACATTTATCTTATTAGTGATACTAATTTTGAAATGTTTGTTGTAGATTAAATTATTCCAATTTGATATAGATTGAGTCTTACATAAGTTTCAACACTTTTCATGACTTGTAATGTTTGTTGTAAATTGAATTCTTACAATTTGAAAATGGATTGAGTCTTATATAAGTTTTAGAAAATTTGATGACTTGTTTGCAATATTAGATTTTATATTTATCTTCTTATTAAAAAATATTAAACAAGTTATTAACAATTATTCAATATTCGAACATAAACTAATCCAATACATTTCAACAAAAAATTAGCACATTTAGCATGATTAACTACCAAATCCTAATATTTCAATATGCAATAAAAAGTTTTTAACAAGTAGACACGTACTCATTAAATTATCAACAACACAACGTTGTTAACAATTATTCAATATTTGAACATTAACTAATCCAATACATTTTCAATAAAAAATTAGCACATTTAACATGATTAACTACCAAATCCTAATATTTCAACATGCAACAAGTAGACACGTACTAATTAAATTATCAACAAGATAGTAAAATCAATAATTCAACATTTTTTTCTACCAAAAAAAAAATAATAATAATTCAACATTTTTCAAACAATATGTATCATTGTAAAGCAAATATTTAAGCATATTATCAATTACTAGACTTCATCATAACAATAAATAATTCAACATGATTCCAAAATTAAAAAGTTTAACTCACTAACCGTGTTACTCATTATCTGATGTAGTGATATCCGGAAGTCCGAACTTGACCAACTTCAAGAAATACATACAAAAAAAATAGTTTCAGTAATACTAACATAGTTTCAAAATATAAAAAAATGAAATTCAAGAAATTCATTCTAAAAATAATATTATAGCAAATCCATCCTAAAAAATATGATAATTACAATATCATAAAATAATAAACTACAATAAAATCGCTAAATATTCTTCAAAGTCTAAATTATTGTTAGTAAACATTAACTTAGTTTCAAAATAATAAAAAATGAAGTTAAAGAACTTCATTCTACAAATAATATTATAAAAAATCCTACTAAAAATATGGTAATTACAATATTCATAAAATAATAAATTACAATAATAAAAACACTACATATTCTTAAAATATGGCAATTAAAAGTCTAAATTCTTAACTTAGTTTCGAAATATGAAAAATAAAAATTCAATAACTTCATTTTAAAAATAATATTAGAACAAATTTTTCTAAACAATATGATAATTAAAAAATCTAAAATAATAACCGAAAATCTAAATTAATATATTTTAAAAATCTAATATACTTCACAAATTTAAATTAACAAAAAATTAAAAAAAAAAAAATCGGCGACGTCCCGGCAGGACGTTCGTCCGTCGCCGGCGACGTCCCGGCAGGACGTTCGTCCGTCGCCGGCGACGTCCCGGCCGCACGTTCGTCCGTCGCCGGCGACGTCCCGGCCGCACGTTCGTCCGTCGTTTTCGGGTTATTTGCCGACGTACCTCGTCGGAGAAAGGAGCTGTCGTCGTCGGAGGTGGCGGTCGCCGGCGGGGGTGGCGGTCGCCGGCGGGGGTGGCGGTCGCCGGCGGGAGGTGACGGTCGCCGGCGGGAGGTGGCGGTCGCCGGCGGTGAGTGTTGTTGGATTGTGTTTGGAAAAGTGTTTGAATGTTTTGGTCTTGGAATGTGTGAAGTAAATGTATTTAAATGTTATGGGTATTATTGTACTTTTTATAATTTAGGGCTACAAATAAAAATAATTTAGGGCTACAAATAGTACTTTTAGTTGAGATTGTTGTGATTGTTGGTTTTAGATTTGTGTCAACTTTTTCTTTCCATTTATATCCCCAATAGTTTTTGTCTTATTCTAAAAGTTGAGGGTAAATGTGACATTTCACCCATAAAAGTAACTTTATGTAAATCAATGCATTAAGTAGAATCTCAACAACCAAACAATGTATTGTTAAAATGCATATATTGTATCAATACATGCATTTATATTATGGTGATTCATTACAATGCAACGATTTAACATTCTCAACTTCCAAACGACCACTTACTCAACTAGTTGCATTTACATCACATAAATAACAGGCAAGAAGATAGGCCTCGCCAAATTTGTGTGCATAGTATACCATTCGCTCTCCCAAAATAATACCTTACGAGAGTGCACAACAACATTTTAGTCTGTGTTCAAGGCGTTACACAGTCCTGCATGTTGCAGTTCCACAACAAACATACTTCTCAGACTTCCGGCGAGACACAACTATATACAAGCATGTGGCACTCACAGGGAAAGTTATACTGATACAGTGTGTCACCACATCAGGAGAGAATAATAAAAGATACCACGCCGGCACCGGAGCTGAACCAGCAGAACATTAGAGAAACAGTCCAACTACGCGGCTTCTGCAAACCCAATTCTGAGGTTGCCGTAGTCAAACACGGTGTGGTAACGGCCCATGAACACATCACCCAGGATCCTGCAACGGCCAAGACAAACGAGTTATGCCGAGAACGACCGGAGCGAGTTTGGAGGGTTAACATTACTGAACCAGTACAGTGGAACTCTTCATAAGACTTAAGGCAACCATGATGGGAAGGTAGAAAGAAGCTTACCAGAGAGGGCCACGTGGTGGCGGGACATCGAGTGCTGTAAATCCGCTAATGCACTGAGCAGCAGGCCCCTCACCAACTTTGAGGACATACTGATCATGGCCGAAGCGAAACAAAAGAAAGAACAGATTCAGCAGTCACAAAGATCAAACAGTAAACCGTTAAGAAACTTGGGGGGTACATAGATGCAATCATCACCAAACCAAAGCACAGAAAAAGAATTACCTCCTCCGGAGTAAGTTCAAAGACCTTTCCACCAATAGTAAATGAAACATTAGGCATGGTAGACAAGCCGGCACACTCAACTACTGATTCACCCATTGGGCTTGGGATTCGATCGCAGAGCTGCAGAAAGGCGGGAAAAACCCAGATAACGAGATGCGTAAGCTCAATGCTGACACCTATGTACTGTACTTTAAGGGGCTGACCAGGAAAGAAGAACAAGATGAACTTCAATTATCTTACATCATTTGCATAGTTGAGTATCTGTTCCTGTGTTTCATTCTGCTTAAGCGTGTTCTGCATCCAGACAACTGCCAGCTCACAAGCACTGCACATTGCCTCACTGGTAGCATGAACTGCTTTCTCAAAGTTCTCGTTCACAACACTTCGAATACCCATGCTGCGAGAGGTGAAGCACACAATTTAAATGAAGACTAATGTTAGCTGCCTAAGTTCTAAACAAACAAATCCTCAAACAACATAATAAATAAGCAGGCCATTTAAACTAACCTAACACCTCGTGATCCATCAAACTCACATAAGCCGATCTGAGAACATATCTTCAGAGGTTCATCCTGCAATTTAACATAACGTCAATTAATTCACTAAAGTACCTAACAGGTGTAATTTAAAATTTCTCCACTAAACAGATCACAGGGGAGAAAAGTACCTTTGCCAAAAGCATACGAATTATAGTTTCTCCATATTCAGAAACTACAAGCTTGCATTCTTGGCTGACTACCCCAGTAGCACCAATGGCATGATTAACTTCTGTAATAATTGCCTGCAGTTGAAATGCATATGGTTAAAGCACTAGCACAATCATCACCATATTCTGGTGCCACAACCACACGCAGAAAATGTTGGCGAACATTTTCTGCCCGGTTATTCAACATATTGTGAAGAGTAATAGCGATCTTGAAGAGTAATGACAAAACAAACAAACAAAGCATAAACTTTGCAAATTCTATGAGTTTACTACACACCGTTGGTCCGGCTAACAAAGAGGTTCCAGAGTCAGCAATGGCTGCACAGCCACCGGAACAGAATCCTGGAAAACCAGAGAAAAATAAAAACATTTAAGAGAAAGGAGACAGCTGCTTAGTACCAAGCCACAAAAGAATGAAAGAATACTCACCAGTAGATTTTCCACCAACCAAAACATCACCCATATCAAACTGTCAGCACAGAAATAGATAAACATCAAGCCTTTTGACTTGAACTAGTAGAACATAAGACATGAAGTTGAGGAGATGCCTAAACAACAAACCTGCCAATAACCTTTCTCAGTCACAGGCACATATGTGTGCTCACCCACAAAGTGGTTAGGATCCACACCACCAAAAACAAGTTCACCCCCTTGCTCCTCATCAGCATTGCGGTTAAGCCAGAATGAGAAAACTGGCTCATTGATGAGTCCTTGTTCAATCATGTCGTACCTGAAGCATATTAAAAAAATAATATTCCATTAATGATAGCCAGGATCAGGGACAATCAATTAATCTTTTGCCAATTCAATGGAAAGTTATTTAGTTAAACGGCCGCTATACCACACAGGGACGGCATTCCCCACAGAGATCTCCTGAAACCCAAGCCCGAGTATACCATCAAATTTAGCCACCAAGAATGTGATGCCTGGCTCCTTAGATGCTTCAATAAATTGCTGGAACAAACTGATCGTATCAGCACATGGATACATCTAAAACCACTATATCAATTCATTTAACGAAGCAAACATACAACAGATCACTTACCACATCCTTGACAACAATATCACCAATTTTTACATTATCCTCGCTGAAGAAGCCAGAAATAGCTCCAGTTCCATACTGGATAGCAGCAGATTTTCCTGCACAGTTACAAATATTGAGCAGCCTTCTATATCCACTGAAACCATGACAAGTAATTTATCGAGAAAGTAGTGAAACGGAAGCATCTGCCGAGTAGACTCAAACAGAATGGAATAGAACCAAAAATTATTATTTCTTCCCTGGTTATGGAGCATACCAGATCCATACAGAGATTGGCACACGCATGATAGAATACAAGAATCCCCAACCTCGAAATCAAAATATATGGCTGAGCAACAAATAACCAGAAACAAACAACAACCGCAACAGGGCCACGAAGCATTAATTTGACACAAAACTATTATGACACCAGGAGCACGAAGAAAATTTTGATAAGGGTACTAAGATGAGTGGACAAACCATTCTCCTTGTAGGTGCTTGATTTACTTGACTTGTACCTAGGGTGGAGATAGCAAGCAAGCTGCACAAAACAAGGAGAACCAAATCAAACCACAGGCCATAACAGATGAAAGCATATGCCAGCAAGCAACACATCCAAGGCCCCACTCCACTCACCGAGAAATAGCACTTGGAAGAAGGCACCCACAGGTTCGAACTACCCGTGTCGAATATCACCGTAAAAGTCTGTGCGGGGGTGCCGATACCAATCTCCCCAAAGTACTGAGCATCCATGTAGTTCTTCAGGATCACGATGTCGGCATCCTCGCTATCTCCCAAATTCCCACGAAACCGGTACTTCCTGACGGAAGCACTCAACAAGTCCCCTTCTTTAGAACCCAGCTGGGCAGCAACACGGTTGTTCTGATCAAACTTTCTCTTCTTGATCCCAACCCTGACCAGCCCATCATTGGGCGCGGCAAAAGCCAAAGGCAGCAGAAGGCAGAGCAGAAGAGCAGCTGCGACAGGCTTGAACGACGTTCCCATCCTTGCTACTGTAAGGGAACCGATATAAGTCGTAAATCAAACTTGTTAAACCAAACCCTATAAATCAGACTAATCTGAAAAAAAATCTTCAGATACATCCATAGCCAAACACAGAAACTGACAAACGAAATATCAGAAGAGACGGACAAAAAACAACCACGTAACCGGCGTCTACAAAAATTTCCAAAAATACGCAAAAGCAAATCGTCGAGACGCTAATAACGGAAGGAATCTGCACACCGGCGATCAAAGCTCAAAGACATGCAAGCCAATTAAGTTTTCCATCAAATTCCAAGCAAAACAAACAGGTAGGCAGAGCGAGAGCGAGAGAGCGCAGTTCACCAGCCAGTCAAAAAAATCGGAAGTCAAACCATGGGAATCACTCTACTCACAGTCCAAACAGCAACGATCAATGGCTACGAAGAACCAGCGGAAGAAGCAATCGGGCAAGGGAAAGAGAACCAGAGGATGAAGTGACTTACTGGTGTGCGATGATCGAAGAGAGAGAGAGCAGAGCTGCGAGAGTAAAGTCTGGAATGAGCTCAACACAGTCAAGCCTGAAGAGAGGGGTAGATAATTATCTCAAAAGAGGGGGTAGATATTTGTTGACCAATCGGTCCGCCCGGTTCGATTATTTTAATCTTCTTTATTTCTGTCGTTTTCGAAAAGCGCGACTTGTTTGGATCTTGTCCCTACACGTGTATGGTTGTTGGGGAGTTTTGCGTTTCTTGCTGACTAAGAATGTGATTGGTCTTGTGGTTGAAAGTTGAAACTATGGAGTGGTAACTTTACACTTGGCCAGGTTTGATCCTTCGATTTAAATGTTGTATTCTGGGTATACATGTATTCTATAGAATACAACATTTTTTCACGTGTTTTAATCACATAATGCATGGTATAGAGAATGCATGATGTATTTTACTGAGTTTTTTCCAGAAATAGCACCTTTAAAAAAAAATTACAAAACTAGCACTCTTCCAAAACTAATTACAAAACTAGCACCTATTTTAATGAATCGCACCTTAGAGGTGCGATTTATAAATGAAACGCAGCCTTAGAATGCGTTTCCTTCATAAATCGCACCCCTAAGATGCGATTTCTATGGTAAAACGCATCCCCAAGATGCGTTCCAAGTTTGGTCGCCAGCGACCTTCTGGATCGCACGATTAAGATGCGATCTGACGGGCTGCAGCATAGCCACGTCAGCAATCCGCGCGACTGAGTGTGGATCGCACTGGTGAGGTGCGATTTCTCGCCTGGAGAATTGGAGCGTCAGTTTTCTGCGCGTTCAACGCATCGGGACGCGGGGATCGCATCTGGGGAATGCGATTTGGCGTGGATATCGCACCGGGGGGATGCGATTTCTACGGGGTAAAATTACCCTACCGCCCCCGAGGGGTGCGATCTGTTGGGTATAAATACCCCCCCTCCCCCTCTCATTTCTTCACTCCACACAACCCATTCTCCTTCTCTCTCTAGATATAATCTCTCTAAACCCTCCCCTCCCAAAAGCCTAGGAAATAAAAGTCTGTTGGTTGCGGCTAAGTCCGATCTGCCATCAGAAAATATTTCTTAGGTTTTTTCCTCAAAAACCCGCCGAGCCGAGCCGAAGCTCTGTCCGAATTACGCCGAAAAAATGGCCGATTGGTGGCAAGGAGAAGGAGTTTACGTCGATGAATTTCAAGCGGTATGTACTCATCATTCTGGTTTAATTTTTATTGTTGTTATAAGTTTTTTAATTAATCTATGTACTAACCTAGTTATTTTCTCGTAGGTTGGGGAGGGCGTCGATATATACAACCAAAGGTATTATCTCGAGCAAGGACCGGTGGATCCAACCGACTTGTACGACCAACCCAACCATCGGTCAAGGGATGTTTGGAACGATCACACGGTACATACAATTCTTCACCATTTGTCCTTCTTTTATTTTGTTAATGTGCCTAGTGTAATATAAAATAAATTTATGTTTATTTTTTAATCGTGTTGGTGGTTTTCAATAATTTAATCGAATACATAGCGCCACTTACTTCGACTCTTTATAAAGAGATGCACGTCTAAGGAAATGGGGTTTTAAGCGATTATCATATCCTCCCATTACCTGGGAAAATCGGGTATTAAGAGATCCTCGGATCCCCCCTTTTTCTGTCAAAAAGACTGCATTTCTAAGAAGATGTATACCTCTTCTAAGAGTCTAACGAGTGTTGCTTTGTATTCGATTAAATTATTTAAAACCACCAACACGATTAAATTATTTACCAAACATTTGAATATGTATGTTTCTACTTAAATTATTATTCATTAACAATGTTATTTATGTTAATTAATTAAATATGTTTGTTTTACGATAATATGTATGTACCTCTTTAAATTATTATTCATTGACAATGTTTTATGATAATATGAAATGTCTTTTTATGATAATAAAATTATGTTTTATGTTGCATAATTTAATTAAATTAATTTAGTTATACGAAAAAAAACCCTTACTAATAATAATTAACGTGTAAAATTTTCCTAGGAGTCACAAACAATAATCCGCTACAGGGGTACCACAAATGTGCTCCCATTCCACCCCGCTATCTTGCCATTTCTCAAAAGGGCACGGTTAGACTCGATTAGGCATTTTAACGGCATCCAAATCGATCGTCAACTCATCACCGCATTAGCCGAGAGATGGAGAAAGGAGACCCATTGTTTCAACTTTAGAGAAGGGGAGGCCACCATCACGCTAAAGGATGTCGCCATCCTAACCCATCTGCCCATCGACGGCAAACCGGTGTGCGTGAGTGATCATCCCCCCGAGGATTGTGACGGTATGCCCGGTTGGCAGCATTTCATCCACAGTCATTTGGGAGTGAAAGTACCGGTGAAGGGGCACGTTGATGCGACCGATCGCATGCCACCATTGAGGAAACACCAAGTCTCAATTACTTGGTTGACGAAGTATTTTAGAGATCATTACGAGAGTCATCCGCTTACGGAGGAAAGTCCGGAGGATGAGAAGGAGAGATATGCTCGTGTCTATCTCATAGGCATGATTGGAGGAGTGTTCTTCTCCAAGAAAGCAAGCAATCTCCTTAGTTGTGGATGGCTTAGGATCATCTTCAGTAGTTGGGAGGAGATGGGGGAGTATAGTTGGGCATCTGCATGCCTAGCTATCATCTACAACAACTTGTGCAATGCGTCGAACAAAGCCGTGAGGGAGGTTGGCGGCGCAATGTTCATCGTCCAATTTTGGGCTTGGGAGCATATGCCATGGCTTGCACCGGCCCAATGGTGGAGTGGAGTGGCACTTGCCGGATCGATGCCTCCGTCAGTTTGGTCGGGAGCAGTGCATTCCGTTGGAGGTCCCCGCAAGTCAAAGGGCCTTCCATGGCCGAGATGGTCGGCAAGGTACTCGCGATTGGCCGACGAAGTTGCAGGAATTCATCGCGATTTGGGAGAACCGAAAACTACAGGATATTGTCACCCCAAATCAAGTGGGCCGAATGGGGTATCATGACCCATACTTGGATCGATATCGGCAAACATCGGTTCGTTACATGACTCCGGAGGGTGCGGCCGATGGTGCATTAGTAAGTATAACCAGTCTAAGTATAGTATGATTTATTACTTGGTTCCTAAAATCTCTTTGTAACTTTTTTTGTTTTTTGTGATTTAGGTTGATGGGGTCGAGCGGGTTAAAGATATTACTACCGGAAGAAATGAGTTGGGCAATGAAGATGTGGGCTACATCAGGAGGATTGCAAACGGTCTACTTGGCTGTATCAGAGCTCAGCGCCGAGATCATCGTAGATATCCACCTCGTGCCGCACCCCCACCACCTGAGGTACAACGTGATGTCCCCGCACCCCCACCACCCTACGAGAGAAAGCAGCCGAAGAGGGTTCGGGAAAGGCCCATCGAGCCCGAGGTACAACCATTTGGGGGGTGGAGTGTGCCGCCCCCATTGGTTGTCACCCAAGGTGCCGGACCAAGTTCAACCCAAGGTGCCGGACCGAGTTCCACCCAAGCTCCCCGCCCGTCCTCCGCCCCATCTCCCCGCCCGACTTGGTCACAAGATGCCGGCCACAACGATCAATGGCAGAGCTCATACTACGATCCCCGCTCGACCTACCATCAATCCTCTCAGAGTTTCCACCAAGCCCCATTATCTCCCACCCCGCTCTCATACAACGATCCCCGCGGAGCATACTTCGATCCCCGCGGAGCATACTTTGATTCCCGGCTATCTCCCCGCCAAACATCATCTGGGACTTTTCATGATGGCTCCTCCACCACAGGCCAACACGAGTTCACCCCATGGAATCGACCTCCTCATCAGCAGTGACCTCCCACTCCTCACCGTATGAGCGCCGATGTCGCCCGCTCGACCCCGGAAGTGCCGATTCCCCGCCGACATAGCACCGACGAGCGCCACACTACCTCGGCCGCTCCCCGCTTGCCACCTCCACCACCCATTGTTACTCCCGTCGGCAAGCGTACAAGGAGCAAGAAAACTGTGGGTTCCGCATCCGCTCGTGGACTTCCTTGATATGTATTTTGAGTTGATTTTTATCTCTATGTACTTTGAACTATTCCCTTTAATTCCATCAATCATATTTCGTTGATTTTCATCAAATTGTTATTATCATGATTCCTCTTGACTTGATATGATCCAAATTCGTTCAATCAACAATACACAATTAAATGCAACGTAAGAGTTACAAACTACTTGACGAATGATAATCGAAAATTACGTCGCATTAGCTGATTCCGGAACATCATCACCCGGATTTTGCGGGCCAATCGGTCCTGGACACCTTCGTTTATCATGTCCTGGAACTTTGCATACTGAACACCGTCTTGGGCCTCGTGGTGGTCTTCCACTTTGATCCATTTCATTCTGAATTCTCTTTTTCCTCGGGCGCCCCGGTTCACGCCTCTGTCCGAATGGCGGGACGATCAATTTCCCTTCGTACAGCGGCCAATAAGCTTCATCAGGCAATGCACGGAAACTCCGTCCGTAGGTGCTTTTGAGTGAGTCGATATTGAAGAATGGACTAACGAAGTGACGGGGGTCTTTGCTCCTCTTTTTAATTACGGCCATTGCATGAGAACAAGGCCATCCTCTCCCCTGATACTTCTGGCATGAGCACTCACCAACTTTGGTCCTGAAATTGACCAAAACTTCGTGACGGTGACCCCCCCGTCTACCATCCTCCCGATGTCCGGTCGTCACGCTATACTCACCAGTTGCCCGATTCATAACGGTTACACTATGTCGACTGCTCTTGCGATTGTCACTGTCCATTATTTCAGTGACTTTATAGGCATGGACCTTTCCCTGTGCCTCGTTTGTCCTTGCCCAGTGGAGACGGTTCACGAACCATGCATTCGTTTTCCAAAATGTCATCTCCACAATGGCAGAGATTGGCAATTGACGGACGGCCTTGTAGACAGAGTTGATACTCTCACTTGAGTTGGTTGTGGCAATACCCCATCTTTTGCCTCCATCTTTATGAAATGTCCACATGGATAGGTCGTGTCCATCCAGCCATTGTGCCCCTTCAGGGCATAACTCGCGCAGCTTTTGCAACTTCTCCTGAAATTTTTTCTCCTGGTATGCAACCGCTGAATAACACACAGAAAAGTCGTATGTTAGTCAATGATCCTCAATTTAGTACAATTTCAAACTGGCCGGTCGGATTCTCGTTAGACTCTTAGGAGAGGTATACATCTCCTTAGAAACACAGCCTGTTTGACAGAAAAAGGGGGGATCCGAAGATCGCTTAAAACCCGATTTTCCCAGGAAATGGGAGGACCATCATAATCGCTTAAAACCCCATTTCCTTAGGCATGCATCTCTTTAGAAAGAGTCTAACAAGTGCACCACTCCAGATATTACAAGATATTGTTAATTGAGAGCAATAGAGAGGTTACCAATCCACCACAAATTATCAGCTAGCTTCTTCCGTTTGAAATGATGGTTCCAGTTGCTTTTGAAGTGTCGTATGCACCACCTTTGGGACCAATTCCAGGCTGGATCCAGGCCTAAGATGGCTGCTCTGATGCCGGCGTGCCGATCAGAGATTATTTTCAGGTTCGTCCTCTTGGTGACGTGGATTTGGATTTGTCGGAAAAACCATCCATAGCTATCAGCATTCTCTCCCTCAACAATGGCGAAGGCTAAAGGAAAGACTTGTCTGTTTCCATCCGCCCCACTGGCAATCAGGAGAGTGCCCTTGTACTTGCCGGTAAGGAATGTACCATCCACAGTAATCACAGGGATACAAAAGCCAAAACCATCAATAGAAGGCTTGAATGCCCAAAACAGTCTGCGAAAATGGCGTTCGTTACCTGCCTCTGGGGGTTGTATCTCTTCATCTTGGTATCGAGGGGAGAACACAGTCCCAGGGTTAGACACCTCCAATGCCAGTATTAGTCTGGGAAGGAATGCATATGATTCTTCCCAATCACCATAGACGGCGGCCATAGCTTTCTGCTTTCCATGCCACGCCTTCTTATAGTTAATCATATAACCAAAACGACTTGCAATGTCAGCGATTATGACTTTCACCTTCAGATCCGGTTCAGCCTCAATCAGATGCTTGATAGCCGCAGCAACCACCCTGGATTTCAACTGTCGATGCCCTTGGGAAGTTATGGATGACACACATGTGTGTGTGTTGACCGCACGGGATATGACCCAGTGGCCGTGTCTCTTGCTGTTGATGGCCCGAATCCTAACATTGCACCCCTCGTGATGATTACGGCATCTGACTATGAGCCTTTTGGTGTTGGAATGAGTTGTGTCCCATTCAAAATGCCGAGTCATTGCTTCAGTCTCAAGGGCGTGCCGCACATCCTTCTTCGAGCCAAATTGTTGGCCCTTCGTAAACCCAGTGAGTGGGCCCCATATTGGGACCTCTGGCGGCTCCATGTCGCTGTCGACCATCCAATTGTCGTCTGGAATGTGATTGTAGTAGGGGACTGGTACACGGTCAGGAGCCACATCACCATCATTATCTGAACCCGAATCTGGTGCTGAATCATCAGCACCTTCAAGAGGGTCTGAGCTGTCTGCACTGACGTTGTTTTCTCCTTCTTCATCAGAGGGGTCGCTGACTGGTCCTGGTGTGGCAGCCTCCGTCTGATCCTGCTCATGAAAGGCACCTTCATCAGCTCCATAATGGTAGTTGTGAAAACTACCGCTGCCTGTCAGGAAGTTGTACTGGGCTTGGTTGGGGATGTCCGGTTGAACTTCTTCTTCATATGACGAGAACGATTGATGATGGCCTGCACCTTGCCCTCCATCTTGGTACTGAAAATAGGAATGAGGATCATGGTAACTTTGGTAGGGATGATCGTCATATAATTCACCTCCACCATGGATACCAGATGTTTGATCGTGTCCAGAATGACCTCCAACACTAACGGCTGGCTCGGTGTAAACGAACATCTCGGCTTTGGCCAATTTGTTGGACCTCAAGAATTCGAGCATGGAATCTACGTCATCTTGAGTGGTTATGGTATATTCCTCATGCCACAATGACCCAGTTGCTCTGTTTGGGTATCGGTACACCATACGATCTACCCTCCTCGTGCCATCCATGCAAGTAACGTCAGTGCATATTCGATGGAGGTCTTCAAGCTTCGGTCTGGTACCGACCGTTACTTTCTGAAAATTGCCACCGACGTAGGTGGCCCCCTTTCCGGTGTCTTCCGTGTAACCATTCCACCGTAAGCCAAGCAACAACTGACGGAATGCCATCTGCACACAAACAAACCATAGTTTTAGTTAATATCATAAAAATCACAAATCACAAATAACAATAAAAAGTAACACAAAATAAACTTACGAGTTAATGTTAATGCAATAAAAAGTAACACAAATTAAAGTTACGAGTTAATGTTAATGGCATAAAAAGTCACACAAAATAAAGTTACGAGTTAATGTTAATGGCATAAAAAGTAACACAAAATAAACTTACGAGTTAATGGCATAAAAAGTAACACAAAATAAACTTACGAGTTAATCTTAATGGCAAACACACTAAATAAATATAGATATACAACAGAAAAATGAAAGAGAATGCGAGGGAGAATGAGAGGTGTGAAGAGTCTGTTTTCCGGCAAGTCTTATATAGGGGAAAAAATTGTGAAAACCGCACCTCTAGGGTGCGGTTTTAGTCTGCCATGCAACCCTACGTACATAATTCTCTGCATGGTGTCGGTAAATAATTGACACGTAAACCGCACCTGGGGGGTGCGATCTACCTGGTGAAATCGCACCTTGCAGATGCGGTTCATGTTTGGAGAAATAAATCGCATCACCAAGGTGCGGTTTAGGTAGGTCAGGCCTAAACCGCACCTCGGCCATGCGTTTCATGTAGGCCAGACATGAAAACGCATGGGCAAGGTGCGATTTAGGCCCACCAAATTAGATTGCACTCTCAAGGTGCGATTTATGTGTAAAACGCACCTGGGGGATGCGGTTTATGTGTAAATCGCACCTGGAGGGTGCGGTCAATATAAAAGGGTGCTAGTTTTGTAAATATTTTTGACAGGGTGCTAGTTTTGTAATTTTTTTTTAAAGGTGCTATTATTGGAAAAATCTCTATTTTACTTCATATATAATCCGTGCATTTTTCTATGTCACAAAACATTCTTAAAACTCACACTATTAATATACATATAATCTTAATACACATTACGGTGAGTGTGAAATCAAATGATTCATAAGTGAAAGGATGGAATGGATATAACAATGTGAGGGAAGCGTCTGGTTAAAAGAAGTCAATAAATCCACCATTATTATTTTCTTGAAAACAATCACTCGATCATTCTGGAGCCTCAGGACGTCGGTGTAATAGAACAAAACACGTTAAAAATGAGGAAAGGGAAGCTTGTTCAAGTGGGGAATTGGTTTGTCTGTATTGTTAGATGGTGGAGTCGAGGAGTCTACTTCTGATATATATGTGATATTTTTACCGATTTGGTTGTTGGGATTATGGGATATATGTTTCTTGGCAAGAAAAGTCGGTGTTGAAATGGAATTGATTGCACCTTGATTTTTTAAACAACGATTAAACAATATAGTTTACATCTCTTTGAATGAAGTTTAAACAAAGAGTGTTCAATGTTCTTACAACTCAAGAGACAAAGTCTACGGGCTCATTTGGATGTGGAAATGTTATGTGGTATTTGGACCCAATTACTGCATTATGTGGTAATTGGGTTAAAAACCCACGTTTGGGAGAGCAAAAAGGGTATGGAAATTGGCTTCAATTACCACATCCATGGTAATTGAAAATACTACACTTCATCCTAGTAATTTGACATTACCACGTTTTCTTTTTCTTTGTTCCAAATGTGCCCCTTTGTCCTTCCTCTCCTTTCTTCCTTACTCCTTCCCCGATTTCTCCGACCTATTTCTTTCAAAAGTAGCCCCTTCTTCTTCATTCAACAATGGTGTCTCTTCTTCATCTCCCCTCACCTTCGCATATCTCCTCTCATCTATCGTCAATTTCTTACTTTTGGATTCGGTTAATTATCTCATCCGCCGTCGATTCTCCTACTTCTCTTCATCGAATTCGCTTAATTGGAATGCCGACTAAGAGGAAAAAGCCGATGTAACAAAGGCAATTAGTAATTAGTAGAACACAACAACAACCTTTAGGAGGGTATGCATATAAAACAAAAGAGGACATTTTTGTATTATCACCAAATTCCACACCATAAATTTCCACAAAAATAAATCCTATCCAAACGTGGTATTTCGTTCAATTTCCGCAAATCAATTCCTTAGTTTTGTAAAACATGGAAATTCAACCACATTCCCACGTTTTCAAATTTCCACATCCAAACGACCCCTACATTAAATTAGCGCTACTTTTGTGGAGGTTTAGTGAGAGCTCCAGAACTACGACTATGACTAAAATTTATAGAGAAAAGATACAAATGTTAAATACTTGACAAGTGGTGTCGAGTTGTGGTTTTTGTGAATCCTTCTTTAATCTTTCATCTTCGTTCTAAATTATAGTCATATCAGAAGTAAAGTGCCACAAAAAACTGCTCAGCTTTAACCCTCTTAGCCGCTCTGACGATGTCCTGACAATAGATGTGTCATCCTCTTTAGTCTTGACCCCCTCTTATTGATTAGGGCAGAGTTCGAGTTCAAACTAGTTGCACTTTCCGTAGCAATGACGAAATCATAATTTAGAATGAATAGAGTCTGAAAATAACAAACCGCTACAACATTCCACAACTGAAAACAAAATTTAAAGGAGGCCAATAGCCTCGAAATACCACTTTTTAATATTTGCTCATTAGATAAACACATACATCATAACCTTAGATCGATATTTTAACCGATTGTAGCCCCTCGTGTGCTACACTTTTAGCTCAAACATTTTTCCGTAGTAATCCAACATTCAGTTTTTAGCAATAAAAGTATCAGATACTCTCTGGAAGAAGAAAAAAAAAAGGGCTGACTCGACAAATTGCTAACGAACATAGAAGAGCTGGTAGCCTGGTAGATAGGAGAGCTCCATTATTGTACATAGATATATCATATATGTATGTTTCCATAACACAAATATCAGAGGCAATTCTCTTGATAATTGTGAGAGTACCAATGCACATCAACATCTCTGCCGGCTCCGGCAGGGATTTCCTGCATTACTTTCTCCTGACCTTTGGGGTAGTAAATCCCAGTCTTCTCGTCCGGAACCCAACTGCAATACCCACCACCACCATCAGATCCCAGCTTGCTCTGATCACTCTCCACCTTCGCCGCGGCCGGCGTCTCCCGGCCACTCACCGTGTCCCCGGCGGCAGAGGAGCTCTTCTTGTGGTAGCCTTTCCTCACCATTGGCCTGCATGGATGCACAACCCATTCACAGCATCAGTCACATACAACAATGCCACAACTCTGATGCAAAAGATCTGTAATACAAGAAAAAGGGTTGGAGTTATGGTAACCAAGTACTTGAACATGGAGTTCATGGTGTGTGCTCCTCTTGAGAATGCACCCGACATTGTTATGGTCCTGCAACTAGCTTCGAATTATGAATGGAGGAGGGTGCATGGACGGGTTCGTCGTGGTTTTTGGAGGGATCATTATAAAGAAGCAAATTCCTCCTATCCATATCTCTCTTTTCGAGGGAGAGATGAACTGAATGCATCATTTTTGTCTTTGCTTCTGCACAGTAGGAAAATGGGTTCTTCTCCCTTGTCTTTCTTCCCCCTCTTTTTTGTTCTCATTTCTCAACGCCACCAACTGCCCATACCTGCAAGATAGAGTTGGTTAGGAGCAGATTTGAAGGGTGCCATACCTTCAATTGAGTGAGAACAGCACCAAGAGAACCTCCACCACTTTCGTCCAACTTCCATAATGGCTGAGATTGATAACAGAAAGAAAGATTGCCTGCCACTTATTACAATATGGGAGGCTCTGAGCAAGGAAAGGCCATAACGACGTGCTCCGGATTACTAGAGGTTTCGATAAAATTCATTCACTAGATGCCCTTCGCAACACACTGCTCACGTGAACAAGGGTTCGGTCCAGTAGTAATACCGTTGCTCTTGAACATAGATGTTTCAGTCTCGATTTCTTAAGCAGCGCCTAATTTAAAAACCAACCCTTGCATTAAAAAAACACTCCTGCAAGCTCATTGCAGAAAACTATGATAAATCAAACTTCCCAACAAGGGCAATGAGGAGCACCGATAGGAAGAGTGCCGCACCGTGAGATTACAGACTTATAAGGGAGCAGTACACTTGAGCTACATTCCATGAACGAAGCCATTGCCTAGAAAATGATAGCTTACAAGGTTGCCATAAGCATGGCACGTACTTTTGCTCTAAGGTCGTCAGGAACATCGTCTGTTTTTTGACTGGGTTCGGGCAACGGTGCTGCCTTCGCACTGTCTCGACCAGATTTCGACAGCTCCACAGAAGTTTCTCTACTGCCTGAATTCCGAGTCTCGCTTGCTTTGGACTGATCGGATGATTTAGCATGAACCTCCCCTTCCTCCATTTCCACGTCTCTCCTCGACTTTGAAACCCTCTTGTCCCTTCTGGACGTTCGTTTGTGCTCACGTCTACCGTCATCAGATTCCACATGCTTATTGTGCCTACGTCGAGAGTGCTTACGCTCGTCACCTGAAGAGTCATTGTGATCACGATGATGATGTCGAGGGTGCTTCCGCTCATCATCTGACGAAGCATTGTGTTTGTGCCTTCTACGATCAGAGTGCCTACGCTTTTGATCATGCTCATCTTCAGAAGATAAACTTTCCTTATGCTTGTGTCGAGAGTGCCCATCTTCATCATCCGAAGAGTTTGCACGAGTAGGATGAGATGAACGCCTTCTCTTGTGCTTCCCAGTGTCCCTGCTATGATGATGTGATGAACCATTGGAACGCCTCTTCTTCCTGGAATGTTTATGTTCTTCCCCGTCTTCCTTCATTTCTTCCTCCCCTTCTTCATCCTTTCCAGATCTGGGACGGTAACTCCTCTTAGACCTCCGATCCATCAATGCATCTGCATGTTGTTTTGTATTCTCCATCTTTTCAATTTTCTCAGAACTATCAGCATGCATTGGAGCTAAACTCCCATCCCTTTCTCTATCATCCACAACATTATTAGCATCCGAGGCTCCTCCTGACCTTGACAAACCAGAATCAGGTGGTTCTAAAGATGGAACACGGTGCAGTGGTTCATTTTTCAAGGGAGCAGCAGCTCCACCTTTTATCATTGCAGCAAACAGCTTCGCTCGCTTCAGCCTTTCAGCCTTTAGCTTTTGCTCTCTCGTCAGGCCAACTTCAGAGGAATCAGCCTCGTCTGCTGCAGCAATAGCCGCAGTCTTGGCAATGGCCTTCGCTAGAGGAACCATCTTTTGAGTGGACGAATGAGGCCGAGAGCTATTGAAACTACCGGGCTCACCACCATCTCCACTGCTGCGGCCTTGACTAACACAGTTCTGTGAATTCTTCGAAAAGATATCCAGGTTAGGATACGTCATGCCTTTTCTGGCGGCCTGAAGAATAGCAGCTGTTGTGGCTGCATCCATACTCACTCCAGCAGGTTGTGCCTGAGAGGCAGCTGATGTATTTGCATCAGGTTGTCCTTCCCTCTTGGACTTTCCAATAACCATCTTGAACTTTTCCTTCTTATCCGAATCATATGGTATGTCCGAGGGTAAAGACAGAGATTCACTTTCTTCCCCGACACCATTCTTCTCCGAATTGCAGCTTTTGCCAGCTAATTTTGGCTGTAAAACGACCAGTAAAGAACATTAGAAATCCAAGGCTAAGCAGTTGCACAAACTAGTAAATTATTGTATATGCCGGGGTCCATAACAAAAAGAAAAGCAGTTAAATGTGACAACAAAGCATAGAGCATATTTATGAAGTAAGAAAACAACAGTGAATTGAAACCCTCACTAATCAGTCATCAAACACAGGTGAATCTAAATCCACGAAACGTACAAGACAATAACATTAAAATTTATGAAACAGTAAAAGCAACCATTAGTATGGCAAATGGGTTTAGTTAGACACCAACAAACAACCAGTCTACTGAAAGCTTTCTGGAAAGAGCACCCTGGATTAGTAAGACACCAAAAACACATACTTCTAATGATACTTTTCCAACCAAATTTCAATTGATGGAGAAAAAGGGGGGAAAGATGGATAGTCAGAAGGAGGGACAATAGAAGAAACCAAGCGCGCACCTCTTGAGCCTTCTGAAGAGCCTTTAGGTAATATAGGTGATACTGATTTGATGGCGAAAGGAAGGGAAATCTCCCATGTTTAGCATCCTGCTGGACAAGAACTGCTTCAAATTCTTTCCCATTTCGGAGAATGAACTCAACTATCTTATCAACTACTCTCTTCATATCGGATGGAGGCTCCACGATAGGTAGTTCAGGCTTACAGAGCTTGCTTGAACTAGAATTCTGCACTTGGTCAACAGTGGAGGGAACACAGCCTGATGAACTACCTTCTTTCTTCAACCCATGAATGGTTCCTGCCTTCACTGTGCTAATGCTATGGTTTCTTCTTATGACCTTAGGTGCATCTTTCAAAGAAGGAATATGATGCTTGACAGACTTCTCATCTCTTGCAGCAGCAAGTATAGAAGAATCAAGTTCTTGCAATCTTGTGGAAACTGTGGTTTTATCTGGATCAACAGCCTCCTCGAGGTCATTTTTCTTAAGTGATAATGCATTCTCAGAAACACCTTCTTCATCCTCTGCTGATCCGTATAATGAGCCAAGCAAAGACAAAGCCCCACCAGTCTCTTCAAGGCTGCTCCTACAACTATTCTCTTCTTCCACAGACTTGCTGTTGATGTCAGACTTCATAAGGTCTTGATGATCAACAAGGAACCTAAAGTATGGATGAAGATCATGGTCAGGCATCAGGAATCCAAATGTTGGATTGTCCCCTTGTTTCACCCTCAAAACAATTTCTGACTGGCCCCCATGAGTGTGCACAAACAAGGCAGTCCTTGCAATGATCTGATGCACCTTTTCGGTAGGTGGCTGAAAAGGCAGAGAACACAAAGGTAAAACATGTTCCTGTCAGCAATGACAATTGTAATCCTAGAGTCCCAGGAAAGCAGACATCTTACTAAAGAATCCCATTAGGGAACAACTGAGGTACATATCCACATAACAATAAAGATCAATATGCATAATGTTAGAAGCCGTCTATCAACCATCTCATCTCTACCCAATAATTCCTGATAGGCTGAGAATGTAATATATTTCTGTCATCCTAATCCCACCTTTAGGGCCCCTTGTCAAGAGTCAAGACATCAAAAGAAGACAAGGAGCCTGTGAGTGACAACCTTGAAGAAGTCCAATTCCTGCTCCGAGCATCTGAAACTTAGACATGGTAAGCCTTAGAATAACATATGCACCTTAGACAACTACCACACCGCCGCACTGGACAAGTATCAAACAAACAATCACATTAGAAGAATAAAAGAATCCAAAAGCACTTAGAAGTATGAATTTACACTTACCAGCTTCTGAACCATGTGTTCAGGCACTGAGAATGGTGGACGAAAACCACATTCAGCATCCACATTATTGTGGTCGTCAGATGAATGGGTCTCCCCATATGAAAATGCTACTGAATGATAGCCACCATTGTTGGGCAGTTCTGCCTCGTTTTCCAAGTCTGCAACAAAAGAAACAAGAAGGTTTAAGAGTCACATGAGGAGAGGATCCCATCAAATCATTCTGTATACAATGGGAAAAGCGCCTAAGAACTAAATCACAAGAAACGAACATACTTCTAGGGAAAAGTAAAAGAAATTCTTACTTGTACCTCTGAAAGAAGAAACTTTAGCAAACTAAATTCGATCCTGCAAACTTGGAGTAACCCAAAACATATAGCATTCACACATATCATAGGCTGCATTCCCATTGTTCAGCTGAATATTATGTTAAAAAGAGACCCATATTAGACTAAAAAGGTTTTCATTGGCATCCTTGCAGCAATCGGTAAACCATGGACCATGCATTATGTATTGACCATCAAATCAACCGCTATCATGCTAATTATTCAAATTATTCGAGTAACAAATTGCTCTAATCTGATCATCCTACCTACTTTCATATATCCCCTGTTTCCTTCACCACTCTTAACACAAATGCAACATAATTCCATTCTTTTATTTTCAGAATCAACTTTCACGAAATGTAAGGGATCAGCATTGAGGAAGTGTCAACCTCGCATCAACAAGGTTGAATCTAGAGAGCAAAGGTGACCAACTCTCTTCTTCTTCTTCTTCAGCACAAACCATCAATGGACAGGGAAGTATAACCACTGAATACTGCTAAACCTTATCAAACAAACTAATCTAGTTGCTGAGCTGCAGGTCCACAGCCACCCTGTAGCCGGCTACTGTGTAAGGAAGGGCAAGTTCTAGCAGCACGAGGCAGCAATCGACAAAATGAACATACTCTGCCGCCCGAGAGAAGAAGGCACGTTTTGTGTTCTTCAAACAACCATTTTGCGGGGGAGAAACTAGAACTTGGGCAAAGAGCCTAATAGCACATCCACGAGAATACAATCATAAATCTGCAAAGCTGTAAGTAACACAATCAAAGAGAATTTTACCTTGCTCATCGGGAATCGACAGCAAATCCTGGTAGCGCTCGCGATCTAGCTCCGATTCAAGAGCATCGTCCTGGTGGTGTCGCCGACGAGCACGCGGCGGAAGAGGGCCGGTAAGGAGATGACGGACGTCGTAGCGGTCGATTGAGAGAGAGTTCCATTCGACGAGGGCATTTGCGGAGTTGGTGAACTCCGCCATGGCATCGTCGTCGAAGAGCAGCGCGTGGCGGCCAACAACTTCCAGATCCATTTCTAGGGCCGCCGATCGATGCAGAGGGGAAACCCTAACGTTTCTTTAGGTTTTGAGGAAGGAGGAGGATCTCCGTGCAGACGACAAACGTTGAGATTGAGAGACGGAGTTCGTTCTGGAACGGTTGCGTTATTTCCGAAAATAAACAGCTATCAAGGTCCAATTTAGGTTAATTGGGTTATAGGTCAATTAGACATGGATTATTCGGGTTACATGATAGGTGTTCGAGCCCGGTAACTGGGCGTCCCGAACCCTCGCGCTTGACCCTTCCAGCACGCTCGAACCTGCACGCTGCACGGCTAACCTGAGTCCCGAGGAGGACTCGTTAGCACTCCAACGCCCAAGTCAGTTCCTTTTTCTAAAGAGAGAAGTGAATAGTAATTTTAGAGAGAAGTACCAACCTGAGTAAATGAAGTTCACCAACCGACTATTTATACTCGAAGCCCGGCCGACCAACATCCTTCTCCTCCGCCCCTTGCCAGACCCGCAATTAATGCTCCGTACGGCCCAGCGCTCATGCGCCTCGACCATCTGACACTCCGTTCAGAAGGGTCAGGCGCATGACGTCAGCTAGTCCTCAGACCCGTACCCTGGGACACCCCTGTGCCCACCTGTCGCACGCGCCTCGCGTCAGGGTTGCGGACCCCACCCGTCTGGAGAAGCTCTTCCCTGTCCCTGGGCCAACTTTCCCTCTGTCTCTGGGCCCATTGGGCCGGGTCCAATTCCTCAGCCTTCCAAACTCTACTCTTGGGCCCTATCGGTCCAACCCACGCGGGCCATGTATACATCCCCAACAATTGCCCCCCCCAACTAGGCGCCTGAGGCTTCTTCCAGGGCGCCTAGCTGGAACATGGTGTTCCTTAGGCGTGGACTTTCACCAGGCGCCCTTGGACTCATTGCGTCCGTCTTCGCTTCGAGTCGCCTTGTTTGCCACCCATGCGCCTTGCTCCCAGACCTTTGCCTCCGCGCTTCCCTGGTTCTTCCCCTTGCTATCCGCCCTAGCCTCGTAGCGCCTTGTTAGCTTTCTGCGTGCCTTGCCCCCGGACTTCATCGCTTGCGATTGATCGATCCTCTCTAATGCTGCGGACCCTTCAGCTCCCGCACTTTGAATGTTATCAAGGTATCCTCGGGATCCCCCCCCCCCCTTTCCTCTAGGACCTTTGGACTTCTCCTCTATCCCATCGTGAGACCCCTGGGCTTCCCCTACTCTGTGAGACTCTTGAGCTTCCCCCTATCTCCCCCCAGGCCGTTTTGAATTTTGAATCTTGAAATTCGGAATTCAAAACGGGCTAACACTGAGACTCTTGAGCTTCCCGCTCCACTATATATTCTCCTCTCCCCCCCTCACTTTTTCCTCACTTCCCCTCAGAAAGCTCTGACCTCTCTCTTCTTTCTCTCACTAGAAAGGCCACTCGTCCTCCCGTGCGCCTTCCTTAGTTGCTCGCACGCCTCGACTTTCGCTCCCACCAATGGCCTCTTCCCAGCAGCCTTCGGCTTCGCGCTCGGCGCCCTCCTCCGGCGCTCCTGCCTCCTCGCGCTCAGGCGCCCCCACTTCTTCGGCCGCCGAGCCTCGACGTAAGACATCTGCCCCCAATGCGCCTCTCTCTTTTTTTTTTTTTTTTTTTAAGGTTAGACGCCTTAGCCTGTTACTATGCGCCTTCTCCCCTCATTTGTCGTACGCCTAATCCCTTTGAGCCCGCCATTAAGTGCGCCTTGTGTGGACTGTTCCCCCACGTATTCTTCGCCTAATCCTGGTTTTGCCCCCTTGCCCCAGGCCCTGACGCATCGCAAAGTTATGCGTTTCGTTCGTGGGAATCGACTTGGGCCTCGGGGCAGGCGCCCGACGACGTAGCCGGGTTGCCCTTGGAATCAGTGGGGCCGAAGCATCCGTCGAAGCTCGTGCGCGTGCGCCTCGAGAAATTGCTGGTAGCCGCTCAGATGCCTGCGCCTTGGCAATACTCCCATGCGCCTCGATCAGCTCGGATAGGCGCCTGTGGCGCCGGTTGGGTAGGGGTATATCAAGAGTACCTAAGATTCGGGCTGCGCTTTCCCCTCGACCCCGTCCTTGAAGGGGTCCTTGACTCGTGCCGGTGTTCGCTGGGGCGCCTCTCCCCGGCGGTCATATTGTATTCCATTCTTTTTCGTCTTAAGTGTCGGCGTCTGAGCATTGAGCCTACCTTCAAGCTCTTCAATCATTTCTTCCGGATGAGCCGGAGTAAGAACTGCCTCATACTCCACAAGCGCAAGAAAATAGGCTACCACTTCATTAAGGATTGTCAGAAGTTGGGGCGCACGTGGTTTGATTCCTATTTTTTTGTTTGCCCTCGTGAAACGCCTTTCTTCGCGAGTGGGCGCCCCGCCTTGACACGGTGGGCGCTGGGGACGCCCAAGTATTTCAATAAACCCGCTTCCTTGAATGAGGCGGAGTTGGCCAGTGCTGCGCGCCTCTCCGAGGAGCCATTCGACCTGGAAGATGACGACGCGTACGTGCAGCACTTGGCGGATTTTTATCAAGATGGTACTCCATCGTGCGCGCTCTGCCTTTTCTTCACATGCACCCCTGTTTTTTTTTTTCTTAGGCGCCCATTACTGCCTTGCTAATTGTTATCTCTATTTTCTTCTTTCGCAGGCACTGACTATACCTCGGTGTCGTCCATCATCCGATCCCGTCTGGGGATCGGCCAGGGCGCCTCACCTACCAACTCGGCGCCTACTTCTCCGAGGCCTTCCGCCTCTGCGCCTCCGAGGCGAACCATTCGCATAAAATCAAAGGGGAAGGCTGCTGCCTCCCCCCCGCTTCGGGCGCTTCTGGTGGGGCGCATGGTAGCTCTCCGGCCGCGAGCGCAGGCTCTGGCCAAGTCAGCCCCCGCGCGAGCCCGACTGTGCGGGAGCGCCCGCAGTCTCCAGTATCCCCCTCCTCGCAGACGGCGCACCAGGCGGGTAGGGAGGAGGTCTCACGTCCATCCCCGCGACATGCGCCTCGAAAGAGGTCCGGGGATGACCAAGTTCCTCCCGCCAAACGGGCGAAGGAGTCGCAGGCGGGCGCCTCGGGGCTCCCCCCCAGTTTTGTGGCGCCCACCATCGGGCCACACACTGGCGAGGAGAGTCCTCCTTACATGCAGTCTCCCCGGCGCCCCCTCACTAAGGTCGCGGTGGGCGTGCCAGTGAAGGCGGCGAAGGATCTAGGCGCCTCCGTGCAATGGGCGCGCTCTCAATACGATGTGGTCGAGCACCCGGCCAACCTCGTGACTGACAAGCCCTGGCGCAAGATGACCAACTTGACTGCGCAAGTAAGTCCTTTTACGCTGCCCACTTCCCATCCTAGCTGTATGAATTCCTCTGAACTCCTTTCAATGCGCTCTGCCTTTCAGATGATGCTCCTGTGTGAGGCCAACACCCGCGAGGTGGACAAGATCAGGCGCCAGGGCACGGATGCGGAGATCACCGCTACGCGCCTCCAAGCTGACCTGGAAGCTGCGAACAAGCAACGGGACGAGCTGAGCTCGGCCTGTGAGGAGGCGCAGAAGAAGGCCTCCGACTACGCCGCGCAACTGGAGGCGAAGGCGGAGGAGGAGAAGGCGTTCCGCGAGAGGGAGGACGCCTTGACCCGGGAGCGCGACGCCCTGAACGCGGAGAGGAACTCCCTTCGCGAGTCCGTGGCCGAACTGGAGGCGGCCGGCAAGAAGCAGCGGAAGACGAGCAGGCGCTACCACCGGGACTTGAAGAAAGCCCGGCTCCTCCTGGCTGACTACAAGAACACCACCGCTGGGAAGAATCTGCAAGCTGACGTGGTCATCAGCACGGTGGAGATAGTGCAGCAAAAGCTCCTTGCCGACCACCCGGATTGGCACTTCGACGCTCAGGACTTGATGTGCCATATCATCACGGAGCTAGAGCGCGCGACTCCCGAGGGCGGAGAGGCGGGGGCGCAGGGCGCACCAGGTGAGGTCGAGGAAGAGGAGGCGCAGGACGTGGAAGATGGCGATGAGGAGGATGGAGAGCAGGAAGGAGAGGCGCAGAACACGGGAGACGGCCAAAGCGCCGAGATGCAGGGGGAGGCGGACGAAAGGGTCGACCTCAGTGGGAGCGACGCGTCGGATGCTGGTGCCGATGGTTCGGGCGGCGAAGAAGGGAGCGGAGGCGAGGTCGATGCTGAAGAGTGAATGGGGCGCATCTCTTTCCCTTAGTGCAATTTTCTTCTGCTTGTCTTTGTTATCGTTTATTCTTCTGAATGTTTGGAACTTTTTCGGACCATGGCTAAATTTCATTGATGGTTGGTAGCAAGTCGATTTCCTTGAACCTCCGTTGGGCGCTTGCTTGGTCGTTGGTAGTTTGTTTTTCAGGAAGCATAGTTATGGGCGCGAACGTTACGGGCGCTTTATTTATGGGCGCATAGTTATGGGCGCTTTACTTCTCTCAATTACTCGTCCCTCGACTCGAGAGATTGCGTTTTCCGTTACGCTTCTTTTAAGGGGGCGCAAACTGTTCAGGGCGCTTTAGCATTTCATAGCAGGTTCGTAGCTTAATTTTCGTGACGACACTTTCGGAAGGGCGCAGATTATATAGGGCGCTTTAAGGAGAAAAGAGTACGCACGAGCAGACCATGGGCTACTCATATTCTCTTTAAGAACATTCACTAGGGCGCTAAAAACTGGGCGCTTTACACTGTCAAAGAAAGTAGTTCAACTTACGGAAGGGCGCAGATTACTTGGGGCGCTTTAGGGAGAAAAGAACACGCATGAGCAAACCATGAACTAATATTAAGAACATTTAATAGGGCGCTAAAGACTGGGCGCTTTACATTGTCAAAGGAAGCAATTCGGAACAACAAAAGACAATTTCCGGAGGCGAAGTGTTGGGCGCCTTACAACAATAATTAGTGCGCGTGGGAGGACACGCTTGCAGTAATAGTATACCCTCCTTGGCTTGGTGAGCTAACCTCTCAAGCCAGACAAAATTGGGGCGCCCGACCCTTCCTTCCCAGTCGACTACTCGGACATCTCACCCCTTTCCATTCCTTTGTACGCTCTCAAATTCATGGCGTTCCAGGTCCTCTTGACAGCCTTGCCGCCCAGGCGCTCCAATTTGAACGTGGCCGGCCCAACCACCTCTCGGACACGGTAGGGTCCCTTCCA